CTTGTTGGTCATTTATATTACTGGGCMATTCTCCTCCAGGCTCCCTCTTCATCAGAGGGGTCTGCTCTGTGTACATAAGGTTCAAATAAGTCTGCCCAAGGGTTCTCCCCTTTCCTCTTCAGTGATGCCCTGAGCCCTGGGATAATGGCAGGACCCTGCAGTATGAGATGGGACTCCAAATGGGTCAGGCTGATGCCTGAGACAACAGATCCTGAAGCTCTAGCAGAAGCTCTAGACAAGCATCTGAGCAAGCAGTGCCTCTCAGGGCAGGTATCCTGCTCAGTGTTGACTGTACCAATGAATTCCCTTTGCAGACACCATATCTGGGTCTGTATGACACTGATCCCAGGCATAGCTCTGGCTGCAGGAGCTTGAAGTCTGACCCTGAACAGAGACCTTCCTGCCTCCCATAATAATGCTGGGTGGGAAAACCCTTCTGTTCTCCTGTTTGCTGGTCTTTGTGTGGGGTATGACATGGCACAGCCCCATTTCTGGGGCATGAGGGTTATCTCAGGTATGTGTGGCTATTATTCCTGCTGCGATGTGGTTTGGTCTTTGGCCTCCCTCACCTAGAGCACCCCAGCTTTGAGGTGAATGCTCTGGGAGCAGGAAGGCAGCACTCTGTTGCTGCACRTAGCACTTGGCTCTTTTGCAAACATGCCAGGTTTGCACTGTGATTAAACACTGCTGTTTGGACTGCAGCTGTCCAAACCTGGTGTATTGCATTCATACAGGGGTGGGGAAAAATTAATTTCTGGAAAGAAAATGACTATTACCCGGATCAGACTTTCCAGCAGGAGACAGAGACACACAGCCTCTCCCTGCCTGGCCCTGAGCACACCCCAGCTGGGGTTTGAGCTGTGGGTACAGCTCTCTCCTGTGCCAGTGGGGTGAGAGCTGCTGGGGTTTTCAGCTGCTGTGTTGGGGTTCAGCTTCTTGGTTGCTGTTCGTGAGAAAGGTGATGAGGGAGTCTTGGCATGGAGGTGGTGCTGTGCAAACCCAATGCACTGCTGCCCCTCTGATTTTGGGAAAGGGCTGCTGCTTCTTGGCAGATGTGAAATGGAGCTGGGGGTAGAGGGAATGAGAAGGGAGGGGTTTGCTTTGGGCTGCAGGTGTACCCCACCATCCCTGCCCTCCCATCAATGTTCTCCATCATGTCCTGGATAGGGACTGGAGACTGTTGGCAGGGAAGGCCAATGCCCATAGGAGACAGGAAGGCTGAGGAGACAACTTTTACCTTCCAGTGGTGCTCTACTGGGAGCTCTCCTGAKATTTGTTATTTTCCTTCATATTTTATTATTGGATACCTTGACCCATGGGAAGATGTTGGGTCCCCTCATGGCAGCTCATCAAATGGTGATTTCTGCACCTATGGGAGTATTTCTGCACCCGTTCCCTTCTCGGGCTGACAAGTTTCATGGTGCTGGGTGTGCTCACAGGGAATTGGGGAGAGGAAAGTGCTTCCTCTGAACTCTGACAGCTCCCTGAATATATAGGCACAGAGGGATTTAAAGGCAGAGATGAGCATCATTTATGGTGCATTAGGAGCAAGGCAAACAAGTGAATTTAGAGAATGGGTGTTTCAAGGCAGTATYAGATGTGCTTCCTTGGCTGTACAGGTGTTCTGGAACATGTGCTGGCAATTGGTTGTGTTACCAGCTCTGCTTTTAAGTGAGGCCGCTTAGCACTTCTGGGCTGGTTTAAATCATTTTTGTGGCTGTTTGTAATTGCACTATGCTTAGGAGTATTTGGGATTAAATTTTTCACGTTGCGTGTTGTCTTGAACGTTTGGATTTTTCTACCCCCCACCTGCCACTGTTCTGCTTTTTTTTTTTTTTTTTTTTTTTTTTTTTTTTTTT